CCCTCACGCATTGGAACTTTCTCTGATGAGGGAAATCGCTGAGCACAATGGCATTTCAGAGGAGGTGCTAGGTCGGGTCGCGTCATGAAGCCCAAGGCTCCTCACCCTCCGAAGGGCCCAGGAGCCCAGAAGCCAAAAACCAAATCCTGTGAAGGCCAGATTGATAACAGGAAGGTCAAGAGTTGGGACCTGGATCCAGGGTGACTCAAAGGAACTGTCGCATTTTGGAAAGAGAGCTGCGAGTAGCACAACGGGATAAAATTCGCGCGCGCAGTCACGCGCGCACGCTCGCGTTCGTGCGCACTTGGAGATGGGCGGCGCCGCCGCTCCGCCGTCATGGCAGCCAGGCCCTCAGGTTTCAGAGATCCTCAGCGACACTCGGATTATTGCAATTTTGAAAGCATCCCCGAGCCTGCACATGCAGCCACGGGCTGCTGCTGGCATGAGCGCGCGCCCAGTGCCAGCACTGGGCCTACGCAGGCGCTGGAGATCAGCGCCGCCAGCTTTGCAAGCCAATGTCCGTGCTTGCGATCATGGCGGCTGGTCTCCCAGGACGTGCTGGAATCTCGGCAACCGCTGACCCAAGACCATCTGCTCTTCGTAGCGGCCTCACACGGCGGGTTTTCGTCGTGACGGCGCCGGCGCCAAATGTTTGACACCGCGTGGATCGTTGAACCTTGAACGATCGGAACTCTCCGACAGCGAGGGCCTTTCGATGTCGACCGACTCGGGGCCACTGGCGGCAACCAACCTTGACAGCCTGCGCTGGGGTCGCCGCCGCGTCGACGCGGAGCGAGCCCATAGCAGTAGGGATGCCCAAACCTCTGACGTGGCCGTGGCATCCCGCAGCCGAGCCCCCGAGCTCTCGAACCCAACGCTCGCGTGGCACCACGATGTGGGCCAGGCCTCCTTCACGTCGACGGGCCTCAGCAGCAGGTGCAGGCCCGTCTCGAGGTCTGTCACCGCATCCTGCCCGGCCACCCCTTTTCAGAGACGACTACGACGACGACGACGACGACGACGACGACGACGACGACGACAACGACGACGACGACGACGACGACGACTGCGGCGGCGGCGGCGATTGAGGATCGACGCTTGTTTCCAACCATCCTGTGGTGTTGGGTCCTCGTTTTGAAGAGACAGCGCCCCGCGTTCCTTCTGTTCCTTCCCCTCCTCCTGCTTCCCCTCCTCCCTCTTCCCTCCTCCGCAGTTCGCATGCGTATCCCACGCCCAGTACAGCGTTTCGTGGCCCCAGAGGGGGCTCCAACGAAGGTCCCAGTGGCGCAGCCCGCATGCGGTTCCCCCACCCAGTACAGCGTTTCGTGGCCCATAGGAGCTCCACATGGGGAGCTCCACCGAATGTCCCAGTAGCGCAGTCCGCATGTGTTTCCCCCAACCAGTACAGCGTTTCTTGGCCCCAGAGGGGGCTCCACCGAAGGTTCAAGTGTCGCAGTCCGCATTCTCATGCGGTTCCCCCGCCCAGTACAACGTTTCGTGGCCCCTTAGGAGCTCCACATAGGGAGCTCCACCGAAGGTCCCAGTGGCGCAGTCAGTCCACATGCGGTTCGCCCACCCAGTACAGCGTTTCGTGGCCCATGGGAGCTCCACATAGGGAGCTCCACCGAATGCCCCAGTGGCGCAGTCCGCATGCGGTTCCCCCACCCAGTACAGCGTTTCGTGGCCCATAGGAGCTCCACATGGGGAGCTCCACCGAATGTCCCAGTAGCGCAGTCCGCATGTGTTTCTCCCAACCAGTACAGCGTTTCTTGGCCCCAGAGGGGGCTCCACCGAAGGTCCCAGTGGCGCAGTCCGCATGGGGTTCCCCCACCCAGTACAGCCTTTCGTGGCCCCAGAGGGAGCTCCATCGAAGTTCCCAGTGGCGCAGTCCTGATGCGGTTCCCCCGCCCAGTACAACGCGTCGTGGCCCCATAGGAGCTCCACACAGGGAGCTCCACCTCGCCCACCGAGTACAGCGCTTCGTGGCCCCAGAGGGAGCTCCACCGAATGTCCCAGTGGCGCAGTCCGGATGCGGTTCCCCCACCCAGACACAACGTTTCGTGGCCCCAGAGGGGGCTCCTCCGAAGGTATGCATGCGGTTTCCCCGCCCAGCACAACGTTTCATGGCCCCAGACGGAGCTCCACCGAATACCCCAGTGGCGCAGTCCGCATGCGGCTCCCCCACCCAGTACAACGCTTCGTGGCCCCATAGGGGGTTCCTCCGAAGGTCCCAGTGGCGCAGTCCGCATGCAGTTCGCCCACCGAGTACAGCGCTTCGTGGCCCCATAGGGAGCAAGCCGAAGGTCCCAGTGGCGCAGTTCGCATGCGGTTCCCCTACCCAGTACAGCGCTTCGTGGCCCCATAGGGAGCTCCACCGAAGGTTCCAGTGGCGCAGTCCCCATGCGGTTCGCCCACCGAGTACAGCGCTTCGTGGCTTCATAAGGAGCTCCAACGAAGGTCCCAGTTGGGGAACTCGCATGCGGATCCCCCGCCCAATACAGCGCTTTGTGGCCCCATAGGGAGCTCCACCGAAGATCTCAGTGGCGGAACTCGCATGCGGTTCCCCCGCCCAGAACAGCGTCTCGTGGCCCCAGAGGAGGCTCCCAGGAGGACGCGGTACTCACAACTGCAGATGGTTGGGTTCTCTGCCAGGCTAATGTTTGAAGCTGTTGGGCACCTGGAGGCCTCTGGGGGCCTCCAAGACCCCCAGGAGTGGACCGCTGCAAATCGCGAGCACATGGTAACGCAGTCAGACGGTGCAGCTGTGTGCTAACCCCCCAAGCAGTCACAGCACCTCCACGCTGGACACCGTATCCTCCCCCTCCACGATCGTCATGCCTACCCCCCTGCCCCTGTAGTTGATGCATAAATGAACCTGTGCAGAGATACGAGAAATAGAAAGATAAGGAAAACCATAAGGAAAGACATAGGAAGACAACTAAAAAGATAACGCTACGTCAGGCTCCTGTTCGGAACTAAAACCAAAGAAGAGAGGGAGATGGGAAGATCCTTAGGAGGCCGCACTCAGAGTCACTGCGCCTCCTCAGAACACGAGTCACGACTGCACAGTGCTTGCACTCAGGGCTCTTACCATCACCTGCGGAACCTGTCCTGGCTGTCGGCCTGGCAGCCTTGTGGCCGCCCATCGCCGCAATCCTTGGTCTCGTCTTTGATTGCTGCACTGGTTCGCATGGTGTTGCATTGCTGTACCTTGCGTTGCAGCGCTTTGCAATGTGTCGCACTTCTTTACATCGCTTTGCACCACATGAATGTCACCAAATTGATTGCACCGCCTAGATTCCAACGCATATATTGCGAGAGATCGCAGTTTTGAGTCCACGCTGACAAACAACAATACGTAAATATGCATGTACATGCACATACTCATCTACGTAATCATATGAATATGCATATGCAAGCACTTCTGCATGATGCATACTCAACGTGCGCACAATGTAGACATACACGAGTACATGTGGGTACGCACTGGATGTATGGACAGACATGCAAGCGTAGACACACATACACGCATACATACATACATACATACATACATACATACATACATGTAAACACACACACACACATCGAGAAGTACATAGAGACAGACATACAGAAAGACAGACAGACAGACAGACAGACAGGCAGACAGACAGGCAGGCAGACAGACACACAGACAGACAGACACACGTACATACAGCCGTACAGACATCCATACTTACATATATGCGTACATACATACCTGCATACACGCATGCATACATGTATACATACGTATATCCGTACGTACACGTGTACATGCACGTATACACGCATGCAAACATACATACACACATCCACACAAGCATACATACATACATGCATGCATGCATGCATACAGATATACACACATGCATAATACATACAATCATACACGCATATATACATACATACATTCATACATGCATGCATGCATGCGCACAATGCATACATGCATACATGCATGCATGCATACATGCATACACCCACACACGTACGTATATGCATGCATGCACTCATGCATGTACATCCATCCATCCATCCATGCATCCACCCATCCTTCCATGATACATGCATGCGTGCATACATGCGTACGTAGGCACGCACGTACATACATACATGCATGCATACATACAAACGTACATGCATGCATTCATATATACATACATGGATGCATGCAAATATACATGTATATACGCATATATGTATATATACGTGTGTGTGTGCGTGCGCACATGCATGCATGTGCACATGCATTCATCAATGTAGACGTCGCATACATACATACATGCATACATACATACATACGTACATACATGCATGCATGCATACATGCATGCCTGCATGCATGCATGCATGCATACATACATACTTACATACATACATACATACATACAGCTATTTCCACTACCCAGATGCCAGGACGATGTATTTACTATGGGGACGAGCGCGGGAGGGCGAGGCCACGGCAGGCCGGAGGCTATACAACAGTCAGCTGACCCCGGCGATAGCCGCACACCCTCGAAGACACTGAAAAGAGCCACCTGAAATCCGTGCAAACGAGAGAGAGCAAGGGAGGGGCGGGAGGGGAGGCTCGAGCGAGATGGCAACGGATGACCATCAAGTGCGGCAACCTCGCCGTGGTACGCAGCATATACTTGTTAAAAGGATCAGCTACTTCCACTACCCAGATGCCAGGACGATGTATTTACTATGGGGACGAGCGCGGGAGGGCGAGGCCACGGCAGGCCGGAGGCTATACAACAGTCAGCTGACCCCGGCGATAGCCGCACACCCTCGAAGACACTGAAAAGAGCCACCCGAATCCCGCAGAGCAGTCCTGGCCACATTCGTGGCCGAAAACGAACTACGCACGTGAAATAACCTAACCTACCGAAAAGAGACTACAAGATTTTGAAGGCGGCATCCATCATCCATTTTTCTCTGAGAGCATTGGCAGAATGTGTCATGGCAAGGGCGGCTGCGCGGGCGAACTGAGGCGAGTACGCTGAAGCAAGCTCGGTGCGGCGGGCAGGCGCACCTTTGTCTCGGCCTTGGAGGATAAGGTGGGGCAGGCCAGTCGACGAGCAGATGCCACCGTTGCCAGAGCAAGACTTACATAAGCTGGGGAAGACGCCTGCATTCCAGCCGGCCACTGTCGTCGGCTTCTTAAAGGGTGTGCCAAAGCGGCACATGTCCATCTTGTGAATAGTGCACGAAGAATCCGAAAGAAGCTTGACCATCTCGGGGGCGTGCCAAAGCAGCGACCCGCGAGGGTTCTCCAAAAAGACAGGGCAGCCGATCTGGATGCAGAGCCGGATGCGCCGGCACGAAAAGTAGAAAGAGCGATTGCCAACGCGCAGGCGGTCCAGCCTAGGTCCAGACAAACCTGGCATCCCCATGGGGAAACGAATGGAGCGCAAAGGGTCTCTGAGAGCCTGCGACCAGGACGTACAGGGAGTGCCCAGCCACAGACCTACAATGGCCTTGCTCAGAAGCCACCCGCGCACGACCGACTCGAACGTGGTGTGGAGGTGATCCTCGCAGGCCCCGTGAACGAGGTCCAGGTCCAGGCACCCGTAGCCAAGGTCGCGGATGCGCCTGGCGATGCGACCCTGCCCTGCAAACAGCTCCAGAAACAGGCAGCTCCTCCACTTGGTCGCGCCAGCACGTGCTCGGCGGTACCGCCGCTGCAGGTGAAGCCGCACGGCCTGAGGCGACGCCGTCAGGGTCGGCGGCGCCGCGCGGCGGCGGGGGCCCCGGGCCTTCCCCGCAGGCGGGGGCCAACGCTCGCGGGCCGCCCGGCCCACACCAGCGGCAGCAGGCGGCCGACCCGCAGCCCGTCCAAGAAGCTGCGGTCCACGACCTCGCCGAACAGCAGCACGTCGGGGTCCACCTCGGCGGCCTCCCGGAGGAGGCGGGTCTCCTTGATGTAGCGGCGGAGCGAGGCCACTGTGGCCCAGCGACCCCGCTGCATGACATGTTCCGGCGTCCTGGCGCCCGACAGCAGGTCTTTGCTGGCGCCCTGGTGACGCCGAGAGTACAGATGCGGCTGCAAGTGCATCAAGCCCAGGGCGTGGCACGCATCCACGAAGAGCCGAGCAATCGACGTAGGCCGGAGGTCCCACAAGGGTCCGCAGCCCGCGATCACGAAGAGCCCCATGCGCGGCTGGCCCCAGGCCGCCAGCATCCCGGCGATGGCGAGGGCGGCCCGGCGAGGCCGCGGCAGGCACATCCTGGTCGGGACACGCCGGCGCCAGCCCGCCAGACAGCGCGAGGCCCTCGGCGAGGCCAGAGCCGCCCTCTTCTGCAGCGCCGGCGCGTAGTACGCCAGCGACGCCAGCAGCACGGAGCCCTCGTTCGTGGCGCGGCCCACGACGTACATCGACTTCAGGTACGTGACCAGGGCGGCGTCTATCTCTACCTCGGTCGTCCAGTCGATGGTCATGACCAGGCAGAACTGCAGAGAGGCCCGGAGGTATACCTGGCACAGGCGCTCCGTGCCCGGCCTGACCGCCGTGCGCTCCAGCAACGAGAGGCCGCCCGAAGGCCCCCGATCGGACGCCACCTGGCGAGCCGCCGCGGCTCTGCGGTGGCGATCCGCCTGGCGGCGAGAGGCCGAGGCACCCGCCATCGAGGTCGGCTCCTGCAGGTATCGGCCCGTCAGCCTCGGGGGGGCCCGCGCGAGAGCAGCCAGGCTGGGCGGCAGCAGCGCGTCGGCAAGGCCCTGAGAACCAGCCTAAACGCCCGCGAGAGAGAGCATCGGCAGGGTTGAACTCGCTACACGTCCAGCGTATGTGAATAGTACAGTTTGAACACAGCGCCAAGCAACACAGTTTACGAAGAGCACGACGAAGATGAATGGATGCGGCCCTCCCTTTACAACAACCCAGGGCCAACGGCACGTTGTCGACGAACAGTAGAATATGCTTCCCGAAAGCGGCCCTGGACCTCATGATGTGCTTGATGCCCAAGACACACGCGCCCCCCTCCAGAGCCAGAATGTTGTCGGGCACGACGACCCTTGAGGCGATAACAGGAGCCCAGCGAGCCCCGTCGAAGAACTCCTTGGGCACCTCCATGAACTCCCTCGGGTGCACCCGGATGAAGGATTCCAGCCCCAAGACGTCCAGGCCTTGCAGACCGGCAGGCAGCGAAGCTGTGTCGTATGCGGAGGATGGTAGGGGCTGAGGGCGGAGGGCTCTCTCGCGGGCCTTCTCGGCACCGTGCACTCGGTAACGCCACCTCTCGCACTGGCGGCCGTGCTGCGCCGCCGCGTCAGGCCGCACCGGCCGCACGGCGACGCCGACTCCGAACTCGGAGGCGAACTCCGAACCACGTCGTGCCACGGGCTGCTCAGGTCCTTCTGGAGGAGCGGGAGCAGCGAGCGGACGAGCCACAGCTCCTGGCGCACGGAGGGCCACAGCCGCGAGGTCGTCGGAAGGCCGGCCGCTATGCACGGGTACACGGAGCACAGCGCGCACAGCAGCTCACGGCGGATCAAGCAGGCCCACGTGATGTGGCCCACCAGCACCTCAAGCATCTCGCTGGAGCAGCAGCCCCGGCGCAGCACGGTATCCAGCGCCGCACGGAGCCGCCACAGGTTGCGGCGCTTGATGGACAGCCAGCGGCCTTGCCGGAGCTCCAGGCCCACCAGCACGGCGTCGGGGGAGGCATCCGTCTCCTCATGGACGGTCAGGCCCCACCCGCGCAAGACGGCCGACACGTCGTCCCGGCGCTGAGTGACCAGCGAGGCGACGTGGCCGAAGACGTAGAAGTTGTCCACGTAGCCCGCCGCCGCCGTGTCCGAGCGAGCGGGCAGGGCCACGCTGGTCCGACCGTCCTCCACGATCTGCGAATCCGCGAAGCCCGCCAAGGAGATGGCGCGCATGGTCACAGCCTGGCAGAAGTGCATCGCCCACGACCACCCCATGGGCAGGATGGTAAGGCAGGGAGCCAAGCTGGCCCCTGCCGGAATGCTGACCCCCTCCAGCTCCGAGATGCCCGCTAGGGTCGAGGAAAGCGGGGGCAGCGTGAAGTAGTCCTCCAAGCCGGACATCGGCCTGAGACGGTAGAAGGCATTGTCGAGGTCGCCGGCCGCCACGCACAAGGGCATGCCGCCCGACTCGACCGAAGACACCGCTGCCGCCGTAGGCAGCCGTGTCGCCGGCGCCGGGTGGAAGTAGGCGATGGCGTACCTCGTGTCGAACACGATGCGAAGCTTGCCCGACTTCTTCCTCACAAAAAAATACACCAATCATGTGCTTGGTAGTGGACGCCACCTTGAAGCGCAGCATACCACATTGATGAAGCCGCCGAACAAAATCACCATACAAAACTGGATCCCGCGCCAACCGAGGGTCAACGAAAGGTCCGCGAGGGCAAGCTTGTCGGGCCCCGAGCAGCGCCTCGTCGGGCGTCTTGAGCAAATTATGTCGCCAATCCCGTGCCCAATCAGCATCATCCTGAGTGAGGCAGCCCACAAGGTCGACGGGGCTGGAACCCACCTCAGGCCAGGAGACCAGCTCCTTCGAGTACGGGACCCGTGCGCCACCATCTTCGGAGTAGACGGTGGAGCCACTGAGAAGCTCGCGGAGGGCTTCTTCACAAAAACCTGGCTCGCTCGGCATCGCGCCCATCCCCAGGTAGCAGTCCTCCAGAAAATCCAGGCTAGTCTGCTGTCCCAGGTTCGCGGGCGCCGACGGAGGGGCACCAGCATGGCCATACAAACAGTTGAGCGCGTCGATGCCCTGGTCGGCCCAGTGGAGCAGCACGTCGGAACGGCGGAGCCGCTGGCGCACGGCCCTGCAGGGGCGGCGGCCGGGCATGCGCTCGGACCGTCGAGCCACGTGAGGAAGAGGAAAAAGATCCCGATGGCGTCGGTCATCGGTGGCGGCACTGGGGCCGCGAAAAAGGGCCTGGTGCTCGAGCTTCGGGGCGGCGGGGAGCCCCAGGTCCCGCCGCCCGCTCCACGTCACCCCTTTCCTTCCTCCTTGTCCTTGTCCTTGCCGCCCTTCTTGTTGTTGGGCGCCCTGGCGGACTGGCGCCCCCCCCGTGCTTTGCGCCTGTCCTTGGCCACGGCGTACTCCTTGGACAGCTCACCGCTGACGTAAGCCAGCAGCTGGGGGTGAACACACACGTTGCCCCGGTTGGCCGAGGTGCCGTAAAAGAGGTGGGAGTCGAGAGACTCGTCGGCATTGGTGATGAACCGTTCTCGCCACCTCTCCTCCTGCACCTGGATGCTCCTGCACACCATCTCCGCTGCAGCCACGTCCGGCACATTGAGCAAATCGTAGCACACCATCTGCTCCAAGTAGAAGCAGCAGCGCTCGTGCTCGGCCACCCCCGCGTCCGTCAGCGCCAGGCGGCCCTCCGACCGCCACTTGATGTGGCGGCCCAGGGGCGACATGCCATTGTCCTTCATGAACAGACACACCCACAGCGTCGTCCTCGGCCCTGAGATGGGCCAGTCCGGCCAGTCATGCTCCACGAGGCGCAGCACAGCCTCCGAGAAGCCCAGCTTCCTCTGGCCCAGGGCATTGTACGCCACAGGCAGCACGCGGGCGTCCGACTGCGCGCCAGGCGGAGCAGCGTGGGCAGCAGCGCCTGGGAGCGCCGGCGCGGGCGCCGGCGCGGGCGCCGGGGCCGGGGCCGCCGCACCGCCAGGCCCGAGGGGCACAAGGGCTCCGGGCGCTCCCGCGGGGCCCCCCAGCGCGGCCACCAGCCCGGCGACGCCTGCAGCGGGGGCGGCGGCCGGGGCCGCAGCGGCAGGCAGCAGCGCACCCACGGCCGCCGCCGCCGGCGCCGCCAGCGGCCGCCCACCTGCGTTGGCCACGATGGGGCCAGGCGGGGCGGCAAGGCCGAGACGCCCAGCGGCTGCGGCCGCGGCGGTGAGCAGCGTGGCCGGCGTCGGCAAGCTGCGGAACCTGTAGTAGCGGGCGCCAGGCGCCCACGCCGTCGTGCCCCCCGCCGCGCCGCCCGGGAAGATGTCCCACCGCAGCACGTCCGGCGAGCCCACGTACAGCTCCTCGTACTCGTCCGCATCGGGCGTGATGATGCAAGCCGCGCCAGGAAGTCCTGGCGGCACGAGCACCACAACGCGTTCGTGGATCAGGGCCCCGCCCGCGACGTGGTACTGCACCCCGATGAAGTCGCCGGGCTGAACACCTGCCGCGGCCACTGACGGGTGCACAGGCGCCGCCGGCGCCGCCATCACTGCTGCAGTGCCTTGGCGCGCGCCACCCGCGCCTGAGCACGGGCCTCCTCCTCGAAGTCCGGTTCCCTGTCACCACCGACCTGTGGGCGGCGGGCCGCCACGAAGCGTCCACCCGCGCGCCAGAAGGCCAGCACGGCGGTGAAGGCCCCGACGAGCCCGCTGGCGGCGCAGGCCAGCGCCACGGCCCACAGGCTGGGCCCGTGGCTGCTCGAGCCCTGGAGGCCTGAGCAGTCGCACCGCAGCTCAGGGCAGTGGAACTGCGGCGCGCACGAGCACGCGGGGCACTGCGCGTGCCCCTGGTTAGCCGCGTACAGCGCAACGCCGGTGCTCAGCCCGCGGCCCAGCTCTGGCAGCAGCAAATCGGCCGCCGCGCGAGCGGCTGAGAGCATACGGGCGGAGTTCGCTCGAGGCTCGAGCGAGATGGCAACGGATGACCATCAAGTGCGGCAACTTCGCCGTGGTACGCAGCATACACTTGTTAAAAGGATCATACATTCATACATACATTACATACATACATACATACATACATACATACATACCTACCTACCTACCTACCTACCTACCTACCTACCTACCTACATACATACATACATACATACATACATACATACGTACATACATACATACATACATACATACATACATACATACATACATACATACATACATGCATACATACATGCATGCATACATACAGACAGACAGACAGACAGACAGACAGACAGACAGACAGACAGACAGACAGACAGACAGACATATATTCACATACAGACATGCATGCATGCATACGTACATACTAGATGGAGGTGTGCCTACATGTGTGGTGAGCCTGTCTGTACATCTGCACAGGTGAACACATCCCCAGGGGGTGGGGGGGCGAGAACGCCCGGACCCACTGAAACCCTGGGGCACCAGGGCATCGGCCCCCCCGGCGGTGGCGGCGCGCCCCGTGCCCGCACGCCCCGCGCTCCCCTGGCCGCCGGCGCCGCAGGGCCCCGCGCGCGGCAGCGCGGCCCCCCGGGGGTCCTCCGGCGGGATCTCCGGCTCCGGGGGCGCCTGGGGCTCCTCGGGCGTCGGCTCCTCCTGCGGCGGGGCTGCTCTTGCGGTGGGCAGCTCAAGGCGCCGTCTCAGGCGGGCGCACCGCGTCTCGCCGAGACGGTCTCGGGAGCAGTCATCCCCCTGCGTCAGGCACGGGCCCAGATGGCTGCCGCTCGGGGAACAGACAGTGGCATGAACACAGGCTTCCGGAGCTCCGCGCGGATTCCTCGGATCGGCGCCTTGGCCCCACTGGCGCGCTTCGCGCGCAAAGGGGGTGGGGCCCAGCACCGATCCAAGAAATCAGCACGGAGCTGCGAACATGCATGCTTGTCGAGGTATTTGTCCCTCGAGCTCCGCGAGGGGGGGAGGGGGGGCGGAAGTCCCTCCTGTCTCGTTCTTCCCTCCTTCTCCCTGCCTTCCCCTCTCAATACCCCCCTCCCCCTCCCCGGCCCCGGCCCTCTCTCCAGTCTTGCCCTCGCCGTCCTCGTCCTTTCTTTCTTGGTTTTTCCGCCCTGGCGAAACTGCGCCCCGCGGCCGTCAAACGTTCAGACACTCTCTCGAGGAGCCTGCGCCAGGGACCTGTCGACCCCCTTTCGGGTCGGGCGAAACGGGGGGATAGCAAAGGGGGGGTTTGAGAATCAGCTCACGTGGCTGATTTTCCCGGCGCCTCCCGCCGCTGGAGGGAGCTATGTAAGGCCGAAACCAGCTGCATGCAGCAAATTTCGTAACCCCCCCTTTCCCAATCCCCCCCTTTCGCCCGGCCCGACCCTTGCCCGGGGGGCCCGCTGTCACCCACCCGGAGTGCCACACCGTGGGCGCCGAGAGCGTCCGGCACCGTCTTCAGCGCGAGTCTGTCTCGTTCGGACAGCCTCGTTGGGACGGGGGCCGGGACGCCCGTGGCGGCGCCGACGCGCCCGCGCGTCTCGAGCCGCGGCCCCGGCCACGGCCCCTGCCTTTGCCCCAGGGGCGCGGAGCGGCGACGCGATGGCGAGAAAACGACCGCCATCCAAGAGGGACCCGAGGAGAGCAGCCAAAAACATCGATGGACTGATGGACTTTTCCTTGGGCTTCGACACAGACATCATTTTGGCCTGAGGCGCCTTGCCTCGCTGACCTGGTATGACAAGCTTGTGGTCCGCGCGCCGCGCGAGCTCGAGCTCTGCCGCGCTGGCCCACAGTGCGCCAGCGGATGCGAAGCCTTCGCGCAACTGCGACTTGGGAGCATAATTGCACGATGAGAGGAGGCCACCCAAGCGGTCGGCCACGTCTCGCTGCGAAACATCACTACGGTGAACGACATCCCCCCCCCCCTCCCCGCCCTTGTCAAAGGAGGAGGGGAGCGCGGGAGGGAAGGGAATTGAAGCACCAAGACCTCTCCAAACTCAGGGGTTGAGGTCCAGCACCACGGGGAAGTGAGGCTGCGCATCCCAACCGAAATCAACGTCGGTGCTCCGCACTGCCCTGGCCAGCTGCTGCTCGACTATGAACAGGTCAACGACAGCGTGGCTGGCGACGCACGTGCCGAGCTTGCTAGACGGAGCGAAGAGTTGACCATGTATGTGTTCACAGTACTCTGAGACCTCAACCTGGTCTTGGGCGAGGCTAAAGTCCCCTGCAATGACGCGCTGCATCCCCGAGGCTCTGACCATGTCCGATACAGCTCCGAGTAATGCTAAGCGTTCTGACGAGAGCCCAGGATCGAAGTGCCCATACAAAGAAACGCGCAGGATGCCCGAGGCCTTGGGAAACTCCACGACGACGGCGATCGATCTGCGCTGAACCCAAACTCCTCCCTGGGGGCCAATGGGCTCTTCTAGGGTGTAGCAGCCGAGGTCGTCGGCCACAAAAATAGCGACACCTGTCGAGGTGCAACTCTCTCCTGCAGAGTTGGGTGACAGCGCAAAGCTGGGGGCGGCGGCCGACGGGTCCGGCCCGGGGCTTCTGAAGCAGCCGAGGCCGAGAACAAGCGGACCTCATGAGTAAACACAACTTTTGTGGCCCCCCACGCGAGCTCCTGCAGGCGCTTCTTGAGGGGGGCCCAGGAGGACCCGCTGAAAGATCCAAAGCGAGTGGGCTCTTGAGGTCCCTGGAGGGCCCGAGGCGTACTCCCTCAACTGGCCTTCGCTTTCGGTGGGGCCAGCTGTGCTGCCTGAGAAAGACGGGGCAACCACGAGGCAGTATGGTGACTTGGGGGTGCCCCCACAGCTGAGACATGTCGGGGGCTATGCGGAGGTCCATTCCGCACCCTGGCTCGAGGCTACCGCAGTCGATGTAGAAGCTGATGTCATGCCGGGCGAAGGCCAGGCACGGCTAGGAGCTTCATGGGCTGTAGCCTGACCCACGTCCTGCATCAGGCCCTTTGCGTCCACGGATTTGGCGCTGCTCCTGGGCCTTCGCCTGCAACGCTGCTGCGTTGGCGTCGAGCTTGGCTGTGAGCGCGTCGCACTCGTCCTCGAGGGCCTTGATATGCAATTTGATATTCTCCACCTTCTCCGAAGCCCGCTGCACACGCGCGTGGCAAGGCGCGAGCCTCTGTGCTGGCGGGAGACAGGATGCGTGGGCAGCACGAGCGTCAGCCAGATCAGACCTGGTTTGCTGCAACTTGGCCTTACAATCAGGAACGACGGTGTCATCCATCTTCTGGTAGGCCGCAACCAAGGTCTCCACCTGCTCGATATTCTTCTCCTGAACTGCGACGGCTGGGTCGGGCTCGGCGACGGGCTGATCCCGTGTGCCTTCCCCTTTGGCGGCGGCACCCTTGCCCTTGCCCGAACCAAGGCTGGTGCCAGGCCCGCCTGCTGCCATCGCAGGCGTCGGCGCGGGGGGCCCGACGCCCTTCGAGGCCGACACCTGCTTGGCGAGCGGCTGCAGCTGCTTGGCGGCGAGAGGGCCCGCTGCACAGTCCTGCTGCCGACCTCGCCCGCCTGCTGACTCGCCGCCGCCGCGGCGACGCCGGGCGCCGCCTGTGCCCGCCCGCGGCCAGCCCTTTGTCGTGCCACTCGCCGCATACGCGACACCACTTCTTATTTCGAATAGGGGATCAGCTGCAGAATTCAGAATTGGTTTACTCTAGAACTGATGCTCCTGCCGAGCACACAAGAAAAACACGCAGGATGATCTACGGGGCACTGTGCGCATTTGTGCGTAGATTCGGCGGGGGAATCAATTCTGGGGGAAATCATTGTTGTAGTCGATCCCCTACTCTATGGACACAGGAGTCCAAGAACGAGGGCCACACTCGGAGCACTGCACCCACGACTGCGAGCGCGCAGTGGCGTCGTGGTGGCTGGGTGGCGGAAAAGCCCCCGCACAAGAGGAACATATCGCAGTCTGCCAGCAGGCCCTCCCCGAGAGCCTGACCTGGGCTGCTCCCCAGGGAGGGGCAAGAAGCTGTCCTGGCCAGCTGCCTTGGGAGATTTGTTACTTGAGCCAAAATGGCTTGAGCCACGGCTTGAGCCAACATGGCTGCGGATTTCATCATCATCATCATCATCATCATCATCATCAGCAGCAGCAGCAGCAGCAGCCGCAGCAGCAGCCGCAGTAGCGGCTGAATCATCACCATCACCATTACCACCACCACCACCACCACCACCATCACCATCACCATCTTCATAATCACCACCATCCCCACCGTCGCCCCCTCCACTCCCGCCGCCCGATCCTGGACCGCTGGCTTCCCTGCCTTCTTCGGCGGCATCCCGGCCGGGGCCGCAGACAGCGCCCCACCCGTGCCGCCGCGCGCGGGCCGGCGCCGCTGCGTCGGGCGCGGGGCGGTCGCGGTCTCGCGGGGCGGTCGCGGTCTCGCGCGCTCCGCGAGGTCCCCAGCCAACCCAAAGTCGGGGGCGTCCCCCGGCAGCGGGGGCGCCCTGGAGACCCGGCCAGGCGACAGTCGGCCCCGGTCGAAGTCGGCCCCAGACATGATCGCGTCATTAAAAAATCAGGACGGGAAGTTTTTGGCCAATTTCGGCCTCGGGGGGCCCTCGCCGGGCCTCGGGACCGTCAAAAAACGATTCAGGATGAAAAACTGGCCCCTGGGAAAGGGTCTGGACTTCTGGGGACGCCGTCCAGCCTGGCCGAAGTCAGCCTGGCCGAGTTTCTCGCCTGGCCGAGCCCGGCTGCTGCCCAACAGGCCCGAGGGACGCACGGGCCCCAGGGGGGGCAACAAGGGCAGGGGGGCATGAAAATATCCCGCCTCGAACGTATCCCCATCCCTCAGATTGACAAGCCGAAGGGCGATGGCAAACTCAGGCATGCGCCCTCTAAGGGAATCCCTAAGAGCGGCACCGAGAGAAGACGATGCCAAGCATTACCGTCAAAAACTTCTCGGGATGAACAGAGCGGTCCC